CCTTATGAGTTCCTCACGTGGAGAATCAGACCAAAACAATGTGTGTGATCTTATTCTCAAAAGTGACTTGCCACAGCTGATACATACATGTCCATGACTATTAATTGGTGAATTTTCCTGTTCGCTAGTTGGATGTCGTATTTGTCGTATTTGAAGGCTAGTTCGTTACTTCGATAACAAATTCACAATAATAAAAAGACGCAAATTAATTCTACATGTGACTATTTATATAGGTATAGATATAGTTGTGAAATGTGAACTGAATTGTGATTTCATTCCATGACAGGGCCTAGCTGTCAGACTCGATGTTGCCACTTAACTGACATAAAATAGATGAAAAGATATCGATTTTTATTGATTAATAATATCGTTAAAAAACAATCTTTGAGGTGCTTTAAGTTCTGCTACTTTTTAAAATATATTTTCCTTTATTTATTTAAATGCTATTTGAAATGTATTTTTAAGAACAGTTAAATTGTGCAGTAGCGTTTTGTTAAGCTTTAACCTTTTGAGCGCTACACCAAAAACGCATTACAGTGTCCTGTACGTTGTTTTTCGATAGTATTAAACCTATTTTAAAAACAAAATTTGATAAATTTTTAAATCACGTTGATAAATTATATATTTAAAACCCCCATATTGACCTTAGCGTTTTAAAATATTGTCTCCTTGTACCTAAAGGAGGATGGCCAAATCGTACCAGACAACGAAATGATAGCGTCCCAATATGAAATATTTATGTAAAATACCCTTATTTACAGCCGTGTAGTGGCGGTTAAGAATATCCACTACCCCATATCTTCCCGTGGGTGTCGTAAGAGGCGACAGAGGGAAACAGGCAGGAGATGGGCAGCAGCATCGTCCTGATAACAGCAACTGTACTACAAAAAAAACTGTGGTTGCCAACCCGCTCGCCAAGCGTGGCAACTATGGCAATATACCCCCCATGAACAATTACACAAATAGACGGCCCCCAGTCCCCGGCGGCCCCGCTATTCCTGGCTACGGTGGCGACCATGGTAACGGCGGGGCAGGGGGTGCTAAGAATCTCCGGTGGAGGTTCGGTTGCCACCTACGACGACTCCTCAACGACCTGTCAACATTTAACGCACGCACCCTGAGAACTGACGAGAAGATCCTGGAGCTGGAAGAAGAGATAGACAAGTTGCGCTGGAATATTATAGCATTATCCGAGGTCCGAAGAGGGGGGAGGACACGGTGATTCTCGAATCCGGCAACTTGTTCTATCACCGGGAGGGTGACCATCTGTCCCAAGGAGGTGTCGGATTTATCGTCCACAAGTCTCTCGTCAACAACGTTGTAAAGATTGGGAGTGTGTCGACGAGGGTCGCGTACCTGATACTCAGAATCACCAAACGGTATTCGCTGAAGGTGATACAGGTTTACGCATCAACCTCGGCACATCCCGATGAGGAGGTGGAGGAAATGTATGAGGATATTTCCAAAGCCATGCATTCCTCTAAAACCCACTACACGGTGTTGATGGGAGACTTCAACGCAAAACTAGGAACAAGAGAAAACGGTGAGCTGAAGTTAGGGAAATTTGGAGTAGGGCAACGAAACCGAAAGGGGCCAGCAGCTGGCCGACTTTATGGAGAAAGAGGGACTCTTTATGATAAACTCAGAAGCGGCCCCACAGGAAGTGGACCTGGGGGCCTAGACAAAATCCGTTTTCTGTAAGCGTTAACGCCAACGGAAAAATCTAATTGTATGGAGTTGACATTTGCTAATCAGACGTCACGTGATTGCTGCTTAATTGGTAGACAAAGTCATTATTCCTCATGCGGAAAGGAACGTCGAAGTGAGCGTGACACGCTAAAGACAAAAATGTTCATCAAAATGGTAGACAATTGCCATTTTTGACAAACGCCAATGATATTTTGACGTTTCCGCAACACGCTATATTAGCGGGAGATCGGACCCAGACGCTAACGCTAGAAACGAGTAAACAGTGATATTTTGTGTGTCTTTAATTCAAATTAATTAGTGAAAATGCATACTTTGAGATTATTATGGGCAGCTAATAATGAAACAACATTGCAAAGACGTCAAACAAGAGTAAATCGTCGTAAAATGGTGCAAATTGCGGAGATGGAGGAATTGGAATTTGTTCATCGTTTTATAGGTTAGATAAACAAAGTTTTTGGCGTCTTTGTGATGATATTCGGCGTTTAACGTCATTGAAAGGTACCCGGGAAATTAGTTTAGAAATCAAGGTAAGTTTTGTACCTATGTATAACCTTTCAACACAGTTAAGTACTTAGTGTCATTTCTCAATGAAATCATGTTTCAGGTTTTGTGTACTCTTAGCTTTTTAGCTACGGGTTCATATCAACGCATTGTTGGACTAACGCAGCATTTGGTACAAAGAACAACTAGTAGGTGTATACGTCAAGTTGTTGAAGCATTGAGCCATCCATCCATTCTAAATAAATGGATTCTGTTTCCAAGTTCGCAACAACAACGAGCCCAAATAAGACTTGAGTAAGTTATGATATGACAAAAGTATTTAAGTATAAATACATAATTGAAATACTTTTTATTAGTAGCATATTCTTTGATGTACTAAACACTATACCTTCCTTAAGACCGATAGGTACTTAGAAAATGCCTCATTGAGCCTTTCATGCACACTAGGTTCAAGATAATAGTAAAAACATCTGTCCTTTTTAAAACAAAATAATTAAGTATTATATTTTCCAAAATTACAGGTTTCAGAGGCGATTTAGACTCCCGGGTATAGTTGGATGCATAGACAGTACCCATGTGGCAATAGTCAAGCCACCAGTTGAAGAACATTTATTTTTTAATAGAAAAGGTTATCATTCATTGAATGTACAAATAGTAAGTTTGCATTTGTTTGTGGCTCAATTGTGTAAAAATAGCTTTAATTAGTACTTACAGAAACATATTCATAGGATTATTATCCATGTTCCATAATTTTTTCCTGTCAACAGGTATGCAACAGTAATTTAAAAATTACTAATGTAAATCCAAAGTTCAAACGAAAACCTGCAGCAGTGGGCTCTAGAAGTGGAGAAGCTGGTGCGAAAAGCATACCGGTCTGTACCTGCGCTCATTGAAGGGGACCTGGTGCAGACATTCATCGACGGCATCCGCGACCTGGAAGTCAGAGCTGCTGTGAGGCTCGGGCACCACGAGACGCTTAAGGACGCCTTGGCCCATGCACTGGAGGTAGAAGCCGTGCGGCAGGATCATCGCTCCCATCGCGTCAGGGAGGTTGCAGCAGCTACAGTTCGCGACCGCAACAAAGGATACAGCCCTAGGTGCTATGGCTGTGGGGAAAAAGGCCATCATCGATGCAGCTGCCCTAAGCGAACCGTGGAAAGGAGAGTTGATCGATCTCGAGAGGGTAGTGCAGCTAACGCCACTGCCTGGCGGCGACAGGATCATCGTTCACCTCACGCTAGGGAGGTTACAGCAGTTACGGTTCGCGACCACAATAAAAGATACAGCCCTAGGTGCTATGGCTGTGGGGAAAGGGGCCATCTTCGGTCCAGCTGCCCTAAGCACACCCTAGGAAGGGAAGGTGAACGGTCTCAGAAAGGAAGTGCGGCTAACAGCAGCCCCCAGCAACAGCAGGAATACGACTTTACTATCAGACACTGCAGCGGGAAATCTCAAGGCAACGCAGATGCATTGTCAAGAAGACCTTGTCCTGAAGATTGCAACCATTGTAGTAGGCAAGAGAGTAAGGAAGTGGTATCCGTGAGGATGCTCAGGACAGACCACCTCAGCAACGGGTGGAAGGACAGCCTACGACATGCACAGCAGGAAGATCCGGACATCAAGCCGATTCTGGGATGGATGAAGGCCCGTGCTACCAAGCCTAAGTGGAGAGACGTCTCAGCGATGAGTTCATCCACGAAAAGCTATTGGGCCCAATGGGACAGCTTGCTGCTTCAGGATGGAGTCCTGTGCCGTAAATGGGACAATAGTCTAGGAGACAGCTGTCGTTTGCAAATGGTTGTCCCTAAAGCTAAAGTGCCGAATGTTCTACAGCTGTGCCATAATGGTCGTTCAAGAGTCCATCTGGGAGTTAAACGAACTTTACTGAAGGTCCGAGAACGGTTTTACTGGGTACATTATCGTGACGATGTCGAGGATTGGTGTCGTACATGTACAAGTTGTGCGGCTTTGAGGGGACCTCAGACACGGAGTAGAGGAGCATCGAAGTTGTACAATGTTGGTGCACCACGGGATAGGACATCCCTTGACATTGCGGAGCCGTTACAGAAAGGCGCAAAGGGGACTCCTAAGATCGTCCATGTGGATCGCTTGGCGCGTTATTATGGGGCCGATAGTGCTCGGGACGAGCATGTCTAAGGAGGGGGCCTGTTACGCGCTCAAGTCGACGGCACTAGCGCCATCTCGTCTCGAACCGAAGAACTAAGTTTCTAGAAAATCTACACTCGAACACTCGTCGCTTTGCGCGCATTTACTTGAATATTGCGGATGCTTCGTTGCTAATTTGTATATATAGGCGCTGCAAGATGCGATCGGGGCAGTATTGGATTTGGCGAGACAAGCGAAGCATCGGAGCGGAATAAAGTGAATTAGTGTGTTTAATTATCAGTGTTTTAAGTTTTAATTTGTGTAAAGTAAATTAAAGTGTTAATTTAGGTAATTTTATCGGCAATTTTTATTGTCACGAACCTCAAGCTCGTAACAGTAATTTTGTCTAGTGCTTGTACTAAAGTATTTCTTAGTTGTTAGTGTAATGGTATGTGATAAGTAATTTGTGAAATCAATGTAACAAAATCTCATTTTCAAGTAAAAGATCAAAATTAAAAAGGTACTTATTTTCTTTAAAATATTTTTCATTATTAGAATTATACACTTTGTACTATTAAGTCTAAATTAAAAAATGAAAACAAATAAAATACAAGTAATATTAATTACATAGCACAGTCAAATAAAATTACATTAGGGGTAGAATAAATTATGTTACTTAAATGCTAATTCGGTCTCAAATCACGAGTCTCCAATAGTGACATAAGAGCTGTTATTTTTAAATTTAATTCTTGGATGTAGTCACGTAGGTCTGCCTCTACACGGGTGCGGACTTCTTCGACCCGAACGCGCTCTCTATCAAGTTGCAGACGTCGTGCTTCTATTTGGAGTCGTTCAGTTTCTAGCTCGTGTTGACGCACATCCCTCTCCCTTTCGAAACGCAACCGATTCTCCTCTATTGCTACAAACTCGCTGGTGGCTCGGTCAAATGGTGTTTGTCGCAGTCTTCGCTGGCTAAGATGGCGATGACGAGGTGTAGAAGGGCCGGCAGATACCGACAACCTTTCTGAGAACACAGATGAAAGCTATAATATACTAAAGAAAACTAACGAAATATGGTGGTGATGGTGGTTCTATCTATGGGGCAATGAAATTATTTATTAATGTTGGTAGTTTCAATAACTCATAATAATGAATATTCAATAATTTTAATACCTTTACAAAATTAATTTTGTAATAATTACCTCCTTGTATAGTTCCACTATTTGAAGGTCCTGGCACAAGACTGACAGGATGTGCTGGTGGAGATGTTACATTTGCTGGCACTGCTATGGGTGTATCTTCTGCAGCTGATGGTAATGCCAAGAGCTCAATTTCTGCTGGTGATGACATCCTCCCTGCTGTATCAGCTGTATTGCTCACTTGGGGTTGAGATGGTTCCTAATTACAAAAATATAATCAGTTGTTGACCAGAAATATGCAAGTTTTTATGAAATCAGCAAAACAAGAAAAAACATTAATATATGAAGGGTTCACCTACTTGAAAGCCTGCTTCTTGTATGGCTTGACTTCCAGTAATTGCGGTGACACCAATTACTCGTAACATCCTTTCTTCAAGTCGACTTTATGGTTTTCCTCTACCAGACCCACCACCAGTGCCATGAATGTCCCGATTTATAAGGGAGGCTTTCTTTTTTGTTTTGGTTTTCCAGTCAGACCATACCTGTAGCACAAAATATGAAATAATACATTAAAATAAATGGTCTTCATAGGTACTATGCAACAGCAGTACATACTTCGCTTAATAATTAATATCTTATTACACTTTTCCATTTGTCGGAAGTTTTGTTAACACCACATCCACCCACTGAGTTTAAAATGTCACCTAACTCTTGCCACAGGCGTTCATTCCTTACCCTTCCTTGAAGTCCAACTTGTGGCCTTGAAAGATCACCATGGCTAAAAATAATATTCATAAGATTAGTATACAGTGAGAAGAAGAGCCAGTAAACAAAGTTTGCTATTAACATTCTAATACCCTTACAAAGAAACAAGTATTAAGGCTTGGAATAGAGTTTATCTTTATAAGAATAACAAAATGTAAGAACAACAATCATATAAGTGCACCAATGTGAGGTTGTTTACATTATGCATTCCATATTCTCAAGTAGGTCCAATACTAATTAAAACAGGGAACAAAATTGAAATAATGCTAGTTTTAACGGAATTTATCGCGTATATTTATCTTTTTAAATACCCGACGTTTCGAGCGCTTTACAGCACCCATGGTCACGGGGGGGATAAATTTCGTAAAAACTAGTATTATTTCAATGTGTAGTGTTCGCGTAAATACAGGGAACAAAAATTGGAATAAATGAAAACATTTGGAAAAAACCTACCTTTCCATAAATTCTATTAGCAAACTAAATTGTTCGGGAATCGCACGAAGTCTAGAATCCATATCGCAGTTCTTACAATATCTTCACTAACTTTTTTGTAATAAAACACTTCAATAACTTTCAACACAACACTTTTAAATAATATTCTAAGCGCGCGTTTGCGTTCGACAGTGAAAGATGCAGACGCAATTGACACTTGCTACACACTATTCCATAGACTAATTAAAGTGTTTCGGGTAACGCTGCGGAATGGGCGTTCAGCGTTCTATGTGTAACTTGTCTACCAATTTCAATACGCTAACGTCAAGTCCTTAGCGTGAGAGGAAGCCCGGAAACGCTTGGATTTTACGTCGAGCCCTGACGGTTCGACAAAAAATGAGATTGACTACATTATGACGACCAGACGCCAACTGTTCAGTGATGTCTCAGTGATCGCAAGGGTGAAAACTGGCAGCGATCACCGAATGGTTAGAGGCACACTGAACCTAAACGTTAAGTTGGAGAGGTCTCGTCTAATGAAGTCAACGCTCCGTCCACCTCGTGCTCTAATCCAGAATCCCGAAAACTTTCAGCTCGAGTTACGTAACCGCTTTCAGTGCCTACAAGATTGCAATGCAGTGGACGATATGAATGACAAGCTCGTGGAAACTGTCCATGCGGTCGGAGCTAAGTTCTGCAAGACCCGCCGCAGAAGAACACAAAAACTCTCCGATCACACTCTTAATCTCATGGCTGTTAGACGGGAGATGAGGCTGCAATCGTCAACAGATTTGACAGCATACAGGCAACTGAACAGACAGATCTCCAAATGCATGCGGCGAGATTTACGCAACTTTAATACTGCTCGTATTAGAAGTTGCGATAGTCTTTGCCAGAGATCTGTGGGCCAGTAAGAGCCAACTGTCAAGGCTGAAGACTGAGTGTGGCAGCATCGTTTCCGGGACACCTGAGATTTTGAGTGAGATTGAGAGGTTCTATGGGCAGCTGTACACATCATCGTTGGAGCCACACGCAAGTGTGAGTAACGATCCAAGAGCAAGTCTTATCCGACACTATTCCGATGATATCCCGGTCGTCAGTCTAAGCGAGATTAGAATGGCTCTCCAGCACCTTAAAAACGGCAGGGCCCCAGGCGAGGATGAAATTACAGCGGAGTTTCTGAAAGCGGGTGGAACACCGGTACTTGAAGTCCTTCAGAAGCTCTTCGATTCCGTTCTCCATGGTGGCACTACTCCAGAGGCGTGGAGCAGAAGTACGGTGGTCTTGTTCTTTAAGAAAGGCGACAACGCTCTCTTGAAGAACTACAGACCGATTTCCCTTCTGAGCCGCATCTACGTGCTGTTTTCGAGTCATTACGAATCGTCTCGCACGCAGACTCGACGACTTCCAGCCTCCCGAACAAGCCGATTTCCGAAAAGGCTTCAGTACCATAGACCACATACATACCCTTAGGCAGATTGTACAGAAGACTAAAGAGTACAATCTGCCACTTTGCCTGGCGAATGTGGACTATAAGAACGCGTTTGATTCCGTCGAAATTTGGGCGGTGCTACAGTCCCTTCAGCGGTGCCAAGTTGACTGTCGGTATATCGAAGTGCTCAAGTGTTTGTATAGTAGGGCTACGATGGCTATTCGAGTACAGAACCAGAGCTCGAAACCTATCCAACTGCAGAGAGGTGTAAGACATGGTGACGTTATATCCCCGAAACTCTTCACCGCTGCATTGGAAGATATTTTCAAGCTACTGGACTGGAAAGGATACGGTATTAACATCAATGGCGAGTACATCACTCAACTTCGATTTGCCGACGATATAGTCCTTATGGCAGAATCGCTGGAGGACTTAAGCACTATGCTCAATGACCTCAATAGTGCCTCCCAACGGATAGGTCTTAAGATGAACATGGACAAAACAAAGATCATGTTTAATGTCCATGTCACACCTATGCCGGTAGTTGTTGGGAGCACTATGCTCGAAGTTGTTGACGAGTACGTTTACCGGGGACAAATAGTCCGACTAAGTAAGTCCAACTTCGACCGAGAGGTCAATCGACGGATTCAACTCGGCTGGGCAGCGTTCGGGAAATTACGACATATCTTCTCGTCAGGTATACCTCAATCTCTAAAAACTAGATTGTACAACCAGTGCGTGTTGCCAGTGATGACATACAGATCTGAGACGTGGTCCTTCACTGCTGGCCGTATGAGGACGCTCAAGGTCGCTCAGCGAGCTATGGAGAGGGCTATGCTCGGAGTTTCTCTGCGTGATAGACTCATAAACGAGGATATCCGCAGTAAAACCAGAGTGACTGACATAGCCCAACGGATTAGTAAGCTGAAATGGCAATGGGCCGGCCATATAGCTCGAAGAACCGATAACCGATGGGGAAGAAAGGTTCTCGAGTGGCAGCCTCGTACCAGTAGGCGTAGTGTAGGGCGACCCCCCACTAGATGGAGTGACGACCTGGTAAGATGTGCAGGAAGTCGATGGATGCAGGTGGCTCAGGACCGTGCTTTGTGGCATTACTTGGGGGAGGCCTATGTTCAGCAGTGGACTTGTGAAGGGCTGTAATGATGATGATGGTGATGACCCTTATTGTTTAGGGTCTTAAAACACACTAGAAATACCTCTCTAAGTAGCCACAAAAAAAGTTATCCATTTATTTCTATTTTTGTTACTGTTCAAAATTATTACAAATTATGGTTTCATAACGCACCTAATGACGATTCATTTCGTGTGTGTGAAAGGACTTGGTATTCAAAGACATAATTATTCACGTTTTTATAAATAGTTGTTAATTTTAATTCAATTAAATTAGTATGTAGACATCAAATCAACTACTATGCTGATTTATTATGTATTGGATTCTTGTCATAAAAATAATTATGTAGGTCATAGTAAGCTTAACGTTTTGTTCAATTACATATGTACAACGGGACGTCATTTGTCATCGCTTACTCAGTGATCATCGATTCGCGCCAGTATTATTGTTAAATTGTTATTTCTTATTTCCTTCTGTTGTTTTGACCTCGGTGTTTTTTTACGGACTGATTTTTTCACATCTTGGATAATTGTGAGAAACATCATGCAAACACAACAAAGACAACTAGGTGTGCGATTGCTTTGTGTTAATTGTAACATATGCATTGATAAACTTCGCCACCATCTCGTTTTTGAGCTTGATACAAGAGTAATTTCTAAGATCTGCGAGTGGAATTCTTCAATAATAGTACGTATTTACATACCTACTTATTTTATTACACTAACATAATACATCATCATAATACAACTCTAATTCTTATTTTAGATCACTGAAGAAGATTACGTATGTGATGTCTGTCAGCAATCGGCAATACAGCATGTCAACTCCGGGTTACCTAATGAACTGAGCTTGAAAATAGAATTGCCCCACGGCAGGTAATAATTACCTTTTTATTTTGTACTTTTTTTTTGTTTTGTCTTGGTATCAATGTTATAGTGAATTTAATACTGCAATTATATATTGTTTGTAAAAGTGTTTCTTTTTGCTCGGGTTTAATAATAATTAGCCAAAACATTTATATTAAGACAAAGCTGTATGGTTGTTTCAGGCAACTTCAACAGACCATGTTTGTCATCCCTGTTGGCTGAGACTCAAGAGAGTTGCAACACGCAATATGCAGCAGACAGAGCCAGAGCTGGAGCAGGTGCCAGAGCCTCAACCTCAAGAACCTCAAAGCCCACCAAATACCGACCAGCAAGATGACGAAATACCTCGGGTGATTAGTTTACCGCAGTATAGACGAGCGGCAAACACTGCAGCACATTGTGTTTTTTCTGGTTGCCAGAACACAGATTTGCATAGAATTTCTGGCCCTCTAAGAGCAACAACTCTTAGCAAACACAAATATTACTTGCCTATAAATGCTCGTGTTTGTGTAGAGCATACATTTAGTACTGATTGGGATATGTTGTTCAATTCTCAAAATAGTTTGAGAACATTTACGGCTGAACAAGTGGAACATGCTCTTTCTTTTATAAATGCTTTCAACACATTTCTTGATTTCTCGAATATGGAAAGTGTTGAAAGAATTGATGAGCATTTGTTTCATTATTGGCTCGGAATGAATAAACAACAATTTGAACTTTTACTATATGAAACACCCCGTCTTGTAGAAACAAAAAGAGGCATTTTAGGTTTAGGTGCTCTTCTAATGAAGATGAGAG